CACGCTTCATGGTCAAACGCCAAGTGAAGAAAAGAAAGAAAAAAAATGGCGCGTCAATAACTGTCCAAACATCGATCAACGAACCCCAAGAACAATCCTTTTCTTCTCTCCAGCAAAACACAATTCAAAAACGTATGTTACCGACAAAGCCGTGCGTTCGCCCGGAACAGCTCTGGATTTAACAAACGATTTCTGTGATTCTGGTGCAAAAAATAGCGGTGGGTACAAACAAAAAGTATTCTGGAATCGATATACTGAGTCTGAAATTTATAGGGTTTATTAGTTGTAGCATAGTGAAAGTAGCGAGCTATTCTTCGTGCGTCAGAGGTCGTTTTATTTAAAAAAAAAAAAAAACGACAAGTTGCATTTTAACAAATGAGAGTATTATAACTCGGAAAAACTTGGAAAGGGATCTGGATCTTGGTTTGAGTAACCGGTAGTAGCTAGTACTAAAAGTCAGTCTGATGCACGCAGTGCATAAAGTACGAAGTAATGAGAGAGCTGGTGTCGACAATAAATAACAAAGTGAATTTTTAAAAGACCGTGAACGTAGTATTAGCATGCGGTTAAGGCAAGTCAGATTGACGGTCGCGCTGCAAACGCAGCGTTGATGATTTCGGGTGTCCAACTACGACGAACACGGCCGAGATCGACGGTGTGGCTGGTACACATTTCCGGATATTGCTGGGAGAGCCAACGTGCTAAGTGTAGGTATCCACCACTGACGGCATGCATAAATCCACGCGCCGAGCAGCCTTCACTCCGATTATTGTGATGAAATAGAACGATGGAGGTACGTCCAGATTGTATGGCATTGTCCATAGCCTCCACGGTGCAGCCTTCAACACGGTGATGATGGAACCACTTAACAAGTTTGAGGCTGCCGCTAAAGGCGGCACCATCCATAGCAGCTGTAGTACATCCTTCGTTGCGATGGGTGTGCAGCCAGCGCACGATAGTGATGTTGCCTCGCCTAGCAGCAAGATCCATTGCAGCGGTGGTGGCTCCTTCGGCTCGGTTGGTATGTAACCAAACAACGACAGGTAAATGGCCTCCTGCAGCGGCACCATCCAAAGCGCTCGGTGTACAACCTTCGGACCGGTAGAGGTGAAGCCATTTCACCACTTCTAAGTGACCATTAGCGGATGCGTCGTCAATAGCATTTGTGGTACATCCTTCGGTACGATTGGACGACAGCCACGCTACTACATTTA